CCCCAAAACCCCAAAACCCCAAAACCCCAACGTAGCCTATCTCCTTGAAAACTGGTAAATACCACAGAGTTTAATTGGATAATTTTGTTATTAAATAACTTTTATTCCAAAGTGATTATTAAATTTAAGCAAGAAATTACAATCAATGGATAGTTCTGGTCATATAAATGAAGCACAGAATCAACCATTAATTGAGGAGGATGGACAGAACACTACAGAAGGGTTCAACCATCCAGACTCGATATTTAAGGAGCATCCCTTTGAGAACGCTGGGATACTCTCCAAATTTTTCTTTAGCTGGCCTTATAAAGTTCTCCAAGTAATTTCTCTATTAAATAGTCTAGTTCGGAAGCAAAAACCAATTCAAAGTAGAGAATTTGGGTGGGATAAGAGACATAAACTCTTCTCAATATCAAGCGAAGAGATTCAAAGAGAGCTGGCAGAAATACAAAAACAGCAAGAAAATGCCTATCTTCAAGGCTCTTGCTCGAACACATATGAAGGAATTCTTATTTGCATTCTTCATCAATTTCATAGTTGTCTGAATGCACATATCCATTCCATTCTTGATCATACAAATCATTGAATTCATGTCAACTCCTTCTGGAGAAGACGGAGGCATCTGGATAGGAATTGGCCTCATAGCTGCTTATGTCATCATAAGCTGGTTGGCCTTCCTACTTGACGAGCATGCAGTCTTTCTCCAAGCTCTGCTAGGAGATAACGCATATTCTGGAATGATTTCTAATATTTACGAGAAAATTCTGAAAATCACTCCATCAACCAACAAAGATTTTAGGCAAGGAGAAATCATCAACTTCATCCAAGTTGATGCTGAGAAGGCCTTTGATATTGCCTGGTGATTCCCACCAGTTGCAAGACTTCCAATTCAACTAATCTTCGGAATTGCTTTCCTGTTGTATTATTTTGGATGGTTCTTGCTCCCATCATTGGGAGTGGCTGTACTCTTGGTAATCCTTAATTTCTACATTGCAATCTGGAACTCCAGAATCCAAGATGAAGTTCTAGAGAGAAAAGACAAGAGAATGAACACCACAACAGAAGTGGTCAACAATATCAAAGTTATCAAGCTCAATTCCTGGGGAAGGTTCTTCATTGATAAAGTAGCTAGGCTCAGGAAGAGAGAAATCCATTCCGTCAACAAAGGATTGGTAGTAAACACAGTTGAAATCATCACTGCTTTCATAATGTCACCTGTTTTCATGGTTGGAACCTTCTTCTTGTTCTTCGTCTTCGGAAACACGATGATTCTGGCCCACGCTTTTGCTGCAAGGCATGTGTTTTATTCCTTAGAAGAACCAATCAGATGGGTACCTCAGTTTGTTGGAACTTTTGCTGAATTCCTGGTATCCATGAGGAGGATCGAAAAGTTTCTCCAATGAGATGAGATCAACCCAAACATTGTTGAGATGAACAACGAATACTGCAAAGAAAAGGAGATAGACATCCTGATTGAGAACGCCAACTTCACTTGGGCAGGAAGCAAGGTCAAAGAGAAGGAGAAAGACGAAGATAAGAAAGACACAAAGGAAAAGAAGAATAAAGGTACGCCTCAATTTTCTTTTCTAACTTAACTCATCAGGTTGTTTCTAATTGGCTAATTTTTCTACATTATCTCCAACTAATCACAATATCAAAATATCTAATCTTTTCTGTATAGAGGAAGAAAAAGAAGACAAAAAGGTGAGGCTCAGGAATACTTTCCATTTCAATGGCTAATTTTGCCCATTAGTAATTTAGCACCAGGTTTGAAAATAGTGTCTACCCAAGAAGAGTCTCTACATAATCTCTGTGTGATCAGTTAAAGAGAGTTGTGTGGAATTTCTAATTAGGACAATTACTTTTCACCTCAGAATCTAGCTTTCTGATTGTATATTTTCAAATATTAAATTTCCGCACAATATGAGAAGGTTTTGAGTCTTCACCAGATTAGGACTTTTTGAGAGGAAATGCTCTTCAGAGCTTGTGTTCCTCGTCTTCATATATTTATGGCAATTTTATGTTAAAAAGTATTTGCTCAATTTTATTTTCCTACACTTTCCTTTTTATGAACAAAAAGATTTTCTAAAAATATCTAATGAAATTCATAGTTCGATTTAATGTATTTTTAGAAAGATAAAGCATCGAAGAAGACTTATACTATCAATGAAGAGTATCAGTCACTGGACATGGATGATATCGAAGATGGACTTAATACCAGCACCAATACGACTACATCAACATCAAGTGACAGCAAGAACAAGAAGCTCACTGATAGCATTGAGTTGAAGGATATCAACCTCAAAATTCACAAGGGAGAATTCATCTGTATTATTGGAGAAGTAGGGTCTGGTAAGTCTTCACTCCTCAGCGCTATCCTCGGTGACATGCTCTATCTTAGTGACGAAACTATCGAAGTCAATCAAGATAGAATCCTTGATGAGGAGTTGAGGAAGGAGCTTATCCGGGCTGCTCTCACAGAACAGTCTATTGTTAAGCTAGGAGGATCTATTAGTTATGCTCAGCAAGTGCCTTGGATCCAGAACAAAACCATCCGAGACAACATTCTGTTCGGAAAGAGAATGGATGAGCAACGATACAACCAAGTTATCGAGATGTGTGAGCTTGGGCCTGACCTTGGACTATTTCCAGGAGGAGACCTCACTGAGATAGGTGAGAAAGGCATTAATCTCAGTGGAGGCCAGAAAGCCAGAGTGAGTTTGGCCAGATCTATATATGCTGACAATGACATTTTGTTGATGGACGATCCTGTGAGTGCTCTTGATGCCAATGTCAAGAGGAAATTCAAAGATGTCTTTATGAACCAACTTAGAGAGAAAACAAGAATACTTGTAACTCATGCAATCGATTTTATTGATTGAGTAGACAGAATCATCGTGATGGAGTCCGGAAGGATTAAATACTGAGGTACTTATGAAGAACTCCAGCACAGCGAAGAGATTAAGCATATTGTAGAAGTACTTGCTCATCAGGCTGGAGAAGACGATTCCCAAGAAGAAAAGAAAGAGGAATCTAAAAAGGAAACTAAAGAAACCCCACAAGAAAAAGTTGAAGAAAAGTCATTCATTAGTGAACAGGGCACCAGGATTACTGATGAAGAGAATGATGAGAAAATTGATGTAGGATGGAACGTTTACAAAACCTTCTTCTTATCTGATAATTTTTGGGTGCTCTATCTAATGACCTTCCCATTGTTGGCTGTATATGCATATTTCATAGTCAATCACACAATCTCCTTTGGTCATTGGATAGAAAATAGTAATGATGGAATAGAATATGGAAGGAACTTCTTGATTGTTGTCCTCTATCCGTTTGGATATACCCTGATGATTTCTCTTGTCTTCTTGCTCATCACAGTCTCAATAGTCAGATCAAGTAGGCTTTTACATGAGAAAATGTTCAAGAAAACAATCAATGCTCCAATTAACTTGTACTTCGATAAGACTCCAAGTGGAAGAGTGTTGAATAGGTTCTCCAAAGACATAAACAAAATTGATACAACCATTTCACAGTAAGTTATCATTGCTAATACTCATAGTCGGCTTGTTTGGAGTACAGAGTGATACACCTCCTTCCTCTATAACCTAGTTATTGCTATGATTGCAATGCCATGGGTGGGAATAATTATTCCAATTATACTTTTGATTTGCTTCTTCTTAGTCAGATTCTACATGAAAACCTACAGAGATATCAAAAGACTCACAAGTGTCACTCATTCTCCAGTGATCGCTCAACTCTCAGAGACTCTATCAGGATGCAGCACCATCAGGAACTTTGGAAAAGAGGAACAGTTCATTAATGATAACTTCAAGAAGATCAACCTCAACATCAGTTCTGAGTTCTGGCTGGGCGCTGTAAGAAGATGGTTCACTGTCAGACTTGAGCTCTCATGTAGAGTTATCATCATTGCTGCTTTATGTCTAATGGTAAGCATATTCCTTGAATTCAGGTCTAACTATTTATAGCTCTACTTCAAAGATGACATGAACCCCATCCTGGTTGGAGTCTTCCTAAACCACATGATGTGGATGAACAATGAAATAATTTGGGGTGCCCAGACTATGACTGAGTTCGAATCTGACCTAGTGTCTTATCAAAGGTGCCTCAAGATCTTAGAAATTCCACAAGAGAACACTCAGAATGTCCAGAAGCAGCTACTTCTAAATGATAAAAGCTTTGAAAAATTAAATGTAAATACAAAGTGGCCAAATAGTGGAAGGATTGGATTCAACAACTTTAGCCTCAAGTATCGTCCTACCACTCCCACCGTCCTCAAAAACCTCTCTTTCTCCATCAACAATGGTGAGAAAATCGGAGTTGTTGGACGCACTGGTGCAGGAAAATCTACTCTGTGTCTTGCACTCTGAAGAATCGTCGAAGCCTATCAAGGATCCATCACCATTGACGAACAAGACATTTCCACTGTGGATCTGGAACAGCTTAGAAACAAAATCACTATTATTCCACAAGACCCCACCCTGTTCAACGGTTCGCTCCGGTTCAACCTCGACCCAGAAGGTATCCATCCAGACTCGACCCTGCTCGACCTGGCTTCTCAGGCTTCACTTCAGAAATTGGTCGACCGAGACGACAAAGGCCTTGACCAGAACATCGAAGAAGGTGGGGCCAACCTCAGTTCTGGTGAGAAGCAGCTTCTGTGCATTTGAAGAGCCATTCTTCGCAAAAACAGAGTGGTGCTGATGGACGAAGCCACAGCCAACATCGACATCAAGACTGAGCAGACCATCCAGGAGCTGATTAACACTCAGTTCAGAGACTCGACCGTGATCACGATTGCACACCGACTCAACACGATCATGAGCAGCGACAGGATCTTGGTGCTGAGTCATGGAGAACTGGTGGAGTACGACAGTCCTGGCAACTTGCTGAAGGACCCAGGGTCAATGTTCAAGTCTTATGTCGACTCGTTCAAGAACAAATAATTAAATATCATTTGTTTCAGCCTCTTACAACTATCTTGGGGTTTTGGGGTTTTGGGGTTTTGGGG